CAGTGTAGATTGCGAGCCCGGAAGGGTTACAGTTAAAGCCCACGAATAAGATGGGGAAAAAGGCAAATGTGACTTGGCTCTAGGGCATGGACCCTCCCCTTCCCCAGGAAAAGGGACACATGGGGCCAGGCTTTCTGAGGGATCCCTTCCGCTGGGTTCAATGCACTCCTTTAGTTAAAAATTGTCCCTGGGGGAAAAGGGGGTGAATGACATTAACTGAGGGGCTTCTCCTACGGAAAGAAGTGCTGGATGGGCGGAGGGCATGTGAGGTAGCAATCAATCTGTTCCGACGGGAAAAAAAATCAAGGAGTTTTGAGGTCAAGAGTATGTATGCTTTTTGTTTATTTTTGATGTTCTTGTAAAAAAGAAGAGAACTGAATTCACAATGTTGGTAGAGAAGTAGTTGCAGTCATTAAACTGTCAGGCCTGTTGTATAAGGAAGTTAAATGTGTCTGTTTAGGAGCCATAAGTGTAGTTATTCATTTAAAGGAAAAGATAATTTTGAGGTTGAAAGGAAGCATATCTTTGATGACAGAAAGATATCTTATTCTGGTCTGAAGATGGTCAGTGGTGGTGTGAAAGTTGAAGGAACTGTAATGGAGGAAATGGGTGTGAATGTGATGGGAAGGATTCTTTGCAGATGAAGGGATGTATGATCAGTCTAAATTTAAAGAAGATTAGTAGCCCTCATAGAATAAGTTAATTTTTTCTGAGTCAAATGAAAAAGTGAAGCCCTTTGAGAGAACTTTAACTTTCAAAGCAATGAGGTGCAGTAGGAATGTTTGTGTTATGGTGGACGGAAATCCTGTATATTGGAACATCAAGTACAGATGTTACATACAGTGTGAAATGAAGAGAGAAAAATGATTGAGATGTGCATAGGGAACTTCCAGATGTTTCAATATTAGCTCTCAAGCCTCAGCTAACATGGCAAATGTGAAGTTATTGTGGGAGTTGCAATCTTGCAACAAGAAAACAGTCTTCCACATTATATTGTGACATCTGAGGATATCTTTGGAAACAGAGTTGGTGGACCTTTTGTGGGAACAAAAAATGACATCTTTCCGGTGACGCTGCACGATGTTTTGATAGAGAAAATAGAGTTCATGTATTCAGGAAAAATTGAGAAGGTTCACTTGATTAAAAACAAGTGAAGAGAAAAGAAGAACTCTGTAGTAGCAGGTGTGTGGCAGTAGCAGTTTAGGACTGGATATAAACCATGTCTGAAAGCAAGGAAGGGTTTTAAAAAGTAGGGATGCAGCACTTTCCCCTGCAGGCTTAAAGAGTTTCCGTGCTTGGTTGTGGTTATGTTCTTTGCCCATAAACCTTAAGAAAGTGCGGGGATACCCGTGCAAAGCTGAGTCTGTACTTCATAAACTGGGAGGACAGAACAAGGATATGTTTTGGAGGAAAAGTGTCTCCCATAGGATGCCCTGTTCAGGAGTAGGCATTACTACTGTAGGCAACCTGGAGTCTTCTGGATGTTTTGCACTACAACTCTCACAGCCCCTGACTATTCGCCCATTGGTCTTAGGACTGCAGTCTCAATTCAGCTGGATGATTGGACTGTGGTGTAGAAAATCTTTGTTTAGATTTCTTCATTGTCAGTATTGAAAGTATGTAATTCTTTTCCATGAATGAGTGTCTTAATGTTAATTTGTAATCCTGTTTATGCTCTTTCTTCAGTAACCTTCCTCAGTTGGCATCTCAAGTCACTGCTGCTTTCTGTTAGTAATATGGTGTTACTGGTATATTTAAATTATTGATGTTTTTCCATGAATTTTCTCCTAGGGTTCATATATCTCTCATAGTGTTTCTTCTTGGGAATCACTACTAGGTATGTGTGTGTGTGTGTTTAGTCGTTTAGTCGTGTCCGACTCTTCATGACCCCATGGACCAGAGCATGCCAGGCCCCGCATCGAGAGCATGGACCCGGCCACGGTGGAGCAGGTACTTCGCCCGTGGTGGTGTGGCAGCAGAGAGGGGGAAAGGGGCTCTCGTGGGTCAGAGAAATTGGGGGGGGGGAAATGTTGCTGAGACGCATCTCTGGCCTACTGGGTGGCAGAAAACAAAGATCGGCTCCTCATCCTGTGATGCCCGCCTCGGCGTTAAGCAGAGGGAAGCTTTGCTCCTACAGTACAGTGTACATTGCCAGCCCGGAAGGGTTACAGTTAAAGCCCACGAATAAGATGGGGAAAAAGGCAAATGTGACTTGGCTCTAGGGCATGGACCCTCCCCTTCCCCAGGAAAAGGGACACATGGGGCCAGGCTTTCTGAGGGATCCCTTCCGCTGGGTTCAATGCACTCCTTTAGTTAAAAATTGTCCCTGGGGGAAAAGGGGGTGAATGACATTAACTGAGGGGCTTCTCCTACGGAAAGAAGTGCTGGATGGGCGGAGGGCATGTGAGGTAGCAATCAATCTGTTCCCACGGGGAAAAAAATCAAGGAGTTTTGAGGTCAAGAGTATGTATGCTTTTTGTTTATTTTTGGTGTTCTTGTAAAAAAAGAAGAGAACTGAATTCACAATGTTGGTAGAGAAGTAGTTGCAGTCATTAAACTGTCAGGCCTGTTGTATAAGGAAGTTAAATGTGTCTGTTTAGGAGCCATA